AAATGCACAATTATTAATTCAACAATGTAAGCCGCTAAAAACACATGACAATATTTTGTATAGCGCACTCGTAAGTAGTGAACGTTTAAAGTGATCCAAGTTTACAAGAAAAAACAGTTTTAAGCTTTCTAACGCGCTTTCCAACCTCTACGAATTACAAACAAAACTTTTTGTATATTTAGCTTTCTGATAAGATCTGGCAATTGGATGCACAATATTTTCAAACAATAAACTATGAATGGTCATCTTTGAAATCAAAAGTAGTTCGTGAGTTAAACCTTAACAAAGATTGGATAGACGAAATTTCAATAAAATGTAAGAAACTGGTGTTATATGAACAAGGTTCACTATTTAGAACGTATAATGAAACAGAAGAGAAATCATCCGATTTATTTGTGTTAGGAAAATTAATAATTATATTACCATCGTTGTATTCAGGTGGCGAACATTATATTCATCGTTCATACGAAAAACATTTATTCAATTTTGCACATGATGCGGTTCAATATACACATTATATCGTTTATAATTCATCGGATGATTGTAAACATGTAATAGAGCCTTTGACAAAAGGCTATCAATTAACGTTAGTTTATAATATTTCAGTTAAAAAAATTAGATCATCTGTTATTTATCTCAATCCGGATTCATCCAATGAAATACTGGTACAAAAAATAGGCAGAATATTATTAACATGGTGTAAAAATCATAAAAATTTTCCATCAAAGCTAGTTATTCAGCTCTCCGGTGAATATACACGTGACAATATGCCGCCATTATTATCAAATCAAAAAGATCGATTGATAGCGAGTTTAATTTTTAAATCAATTGAACAACAATTTAAAACATCAGAAAAAAATAATTTCTTATTATACTTTGGTGGTCTGGCGACAGTGAAAGAGTTTGAGCGCTTCACCGATGATTACCTGAACTATACTATAAAAATTTTATATTTGAGGCCTATGTTTATTATGCATAATAAGGACTTTCCATGGCCTGAATTATTTAATTTTAATGAGACTTTGGACATCAATGTGTCGTTCGATGAACTGATGGATGAGGAAATATTTTTAGAGCAAGACATGCCTGATACTACAAGTCGTCACAACGAAGAAACCGGTAAAATATTTTTGTTTGCCCTATTAAAACGAATGCAGTATGCTGTAAATAAAAAGCACCGGGTACAAAGTCTAAAACGGTTCGCAAACGTGTTTTAATGAGGATGTTTTTTGGTCTTGTAAAATGTCTTCCGTATATAGTTGAGATGAACTCGTGAAAAACTCAACTATCTCTGCGTACCCAGTGAGACACTACATTTTTCTATGATGAAGTTGTGAGAGAACTTATACTCAGAATCTTAAACACAGTTAAAATGACTTACCTCTACTCACCACGGTTTGTTCGAGAAATCGAAATCGGTTTCTATATCAACCGTGTTAGAAAATCAATCGTTAACTTAACTACTTAATTGTATGTAGAAAAAATTCGATGTATACGGAAAGTTTGTTCTAGTCTTCATTTTTCTATTGATTATGTGTAGAAAAAACAAAAAATAAAGCAGAATTATCGGTACTCAGAAAAATCTAACAGAACTGAATCAGTAAGAAGGAGCAATTAAATAGTACTGGCATCAAATCCATATTGTGCACAGAGCTCATTTCGTTCATCATCGGCTTTTTTCATGAATTTTGACAAAGTAATAGGAACAGAAAAATAATTTTTACAGATTTTTATTATTTATTACCATGTGTGTTATTACTATGTGTCGGTAGCCGGCAGTGGTGGATCTGGTTTTTGAATGTTTTTAAGTTTTGTGCTAACCAAAAACAATCAAGT